TGTCTGTCTGTGTGTCTGTGTGTCTGTCTGTGTGTCTGTCTGTGTGTCTGTGTGTCTGTGTGTCTGTGTGTCTGTCTGTGTGTCTGTCTGTGTGTCTGTGTGTCTGTCTGTGTGTCTGTGTGTCTGTCTGTCTGTGTGTCTGTGTGTCTGTCTGTCTGTCTGTCTGTCTGTGTGTCTGTGTGTCTGTCTGTGTGTCTGTCTGTGTGTCTGTCTGTGTGTCTGTGTGTCTGTCTGTGTGTCTGTCTCTCCAGAAGGTGAAAAAGTCGGTGAATTCCATCTACAGCTCAGGACAAGGTGCTGATCACTTCCTGTCACCGTTTTCATGGAAGAACTTTATTGAAACAAACAAACAAACAAACAAACAAACAAACAGCAGCTCCCACACTTCCTGTTCTATTCTGTCCACAAACTGAAGATGTCTCAGTTTTAGTTTTGATGCATTAATGAAGACAATGATGACACGTGTGTATCAGGACAAAAACACATGACACGTCAGGGTTAATTTCTCCTTAGCTAATGGACTGACATAAAGGTGTTTCACAGAATCCCTTAGAAGGTGTCTACAGCTAAGGAAAAATGATTTTACAGTTTCTATGGAGACCATTTGTTTGCTCGCAGTGGCGCTTGCGATACCTGTGCCCTATCAGAGAGCTGGGGCCTGTATCAGGAAGCAGGATTAATGTCTTAGCGAGGTAACTTCAGGGTTAACTCTGGGTTTTCGGTCTCACAAAGCCGGTTCAGTTCTTATCGGGGTAGATCACCATGGTAACTTACTCTGAACGGCTATCCTGCTCCGGAGCAGGGTAAGTTCAGGGTTGAATCTGATCCTATAAAAAGCACAACCCACTGGCCAATCAGCTGTTGATGGCTGACAGAAATGCAGCCCAGTCATGACGGGAAGTTTAATTCATTTGATTGATTTTGATTTGAAAGTTTATTTTGAACATTAAAAAAGAAAAGAAAGCAACAACAACAGACAATGAAAAGATTGTTCAAAAAGGAGTGGAAAGAAGTGGAACTTTCATCCCACCCCTTCATAAGAAAGAAACTGATCATTTGCAGACACTTAATAGCACCATTAATTAGTGCCAACATTTTGTTTTGTTGGAGGAAATGATCCCTGTTAAAGATAATGGGCCTAATTGACAGCTTTGCTGCTGGAAATGTGGAAAGTAGCCTATCATGTCTACACTTCATGGTGTTTGAGGGATTTTCCTTTTTGTTTTTTAAAGAGGGACACTAGCTATATTTTTGTGCAGCTGTTAATTTCTAACACAGCTCAATATCAGGATGATTTTATTCAGACTATCAATTTGGTGTTGATATGATTTAATTGTGGCGTCAGCTTTAAGCTTTATTGTAGCATATATAACGTTATGACAAAGAAGACCAATTTATCAGACGCAATGATGTTAGACGATAATTGTAATACACGCAATTCATCTGCGCAGCATTGATTTCATGGGATTCAAGGGTGTGATCAGTGTCAGATGCACAGGTACAGGTACTGTAGCTACTTGAACCAGTGATGAGTCATTTAACCTACACATCATTTTATTTGCTGCCTTGTTTTGTCTTGATTTTTCCCTCTCTCCTCCTCTATTTCTTCTTTCCTCACCCGTTTCTTTTTCTTCTCTATCATGTGATTTCATTGATGTTTTGACAGGGGAATTTCTTTGATAAGCTTTTAGTGGCTTCTAACCTCTCCGGCACTTTTCTTTTTTTAATCTTGTAAAAGTTATACTGTCTGTTTTTAACATTATGTGCAAATAAACTAATCTAAACTAAAACTAAACATTATTCATCCCGTTATAAGTTGCCACGCATGTTTCCTCCTCCTGCAGCTGCCACGGTGTTGGCCTTTTCTGTAATGTTGCTTTTCTCCTCATATTTTAGTAGAATTAATCTCTGATCCTCACGAGAAACACTTTTTTTCTCCCTCACATACGGCGCTCTGTGAGGACGCTCAGTGACGCTCAGTGACGCTGCGCTTCTCTCATGATTGTGATTGGTCCGCTGCGTGCGCGTTCACGGCTCTTGATAAAGCAACTCTGGGTTGAGTTACCGAGTTGATATCCAGCGTCGTGATACCAATTATCCTGATTGCCATTGTTAGGGTTAGTCAACCCAGGATAGGTCTGGGTAACCCAGGAAAGGTTGATCTCGCTTCGTGATACAGGCCCCTGGATCAGTGTAACCCTGAGTCAGTTACTATGGTAACATACTCCATGAAGCTAACCTGCTGAGTCACAGGTTTGCTTCATGTCAGCCTGAGGCTGAGCGTGTAGCAGGAAGTAGAAACATGGCGTGTCCTTCAGTGAATGAAGTGGTGGAGGTTGAGGCCCAGTGTATTCAGAGGCTGTTGTGTAAGGAGAAGGTGATTAGAGCCTGTTTGGATGTCTCCCTGGAGGAGTGTCTATATGAAAGATACTGTTTGACCTCACACTATCATTTATCTAACAATCTGTTCCACCCACATATATCACATATTACACATCCTGGATTTACATTATCATCACAGCACATTTTATGCATTGTCCTTTGATTCTTTTCTTTATAACATCAGAGACACTGAACACATCAGAGAGACAGCGGTTTGTCGGCCCGTAAGAAAAGTGTCTCTGGCTCTGAAAAGACTTTGGACCCTTGTTGTGGTTTTCCCTGGACATAAATCACAATCCATTATTAAAGTAATTACCACGGAGCATCGGTGGCTCAGTGGATGGAGCAGACGCCCCGTGATCAGACGCAGCAGCCGCGGGTTCAAACCCAGCCTGCAGCCTTTGTGTTTGATGTTGAGTTTGTGCCCAGTGTGTTTGGGCTCCATCACATTACAGCTGAATACATTATACATTATATTCAAATATATGAACACTGTTAAGATAGAAACATGTTTCTGTATGTTAGACACATGACGTCATCACATGACATCACATCACTGCACACTACCTATTAACTCTGCAGGCTAGATGGACCTAATTGATCGTGGTGCACCGCCTTCAGAATGCTGATGGGTTTTGTTTTTTTTGTTTTTTTGTTTCCCTGTCCATTAATTAAAGGCTAAAATGCCCAGAAAAATATTTTAAAAAACACTTTAAGGAAACGTGACACGGAGGAAATGACCTCAGAGTTCAGACAGAAGCTCCATCTGTCTGTAACGCTGAGTGTTAATGAGTCATTAAGGGTGTTTATTGCTACTGATTATATTTTAAGGGAACCTTAACTCAGACTTTAATAAGGAGAAACTTAAGGTGTTTTGTTTAACTGGCTCAGATTCTTAAATTATAAAAGTTCTGTATTTTATCAGAGGAACTGATATTCAGTTAATAACAGACACAAAAGAGAATTTTCACCTTGCGGGACCTTTAAAGACGACCTGAACCTCCGTCACCTCCAGTCCTCTGTGACATCACAGTGGGTGTGGTCAAAGAGGAAATCCCAGCTGTTCAATCTGCTGATGTTGTTGTTGTTGTTGTTGTTGTTGTTGTGGTGGTGGTGGTGGTGTCGGAGCAGAGCATGCTGGGAACCAGGAGAGCTTCAGTCAGGCTCTGGACAGACTGGGAGGAAACCAGTCTGAACTGGGATCAGCCTTCGTTAAGTTCTCCTGCCTCGTTAAAGAACTCGCTGCTCTGCTCAAGAACCTGGTGAGTCAGGCGATCGATCAATTAATCAGTCAATCAATCAATCAGTGAGTCAGCTGAGAGTGTTTGAATGAGGTCAAATCAGTGTGTATGTTTTCAGCTGCAGAGTTTGAGTCATAACGTCGTTTTCACTCTGGACTCGCTGTTAAAAGGCGACCTGAGAGGAGTCAAAGGGGTGAGCGGCCGGCCTGTCTTCACTCCTCTTTATTACATATGATTATTTTGAAAGGAGATAAAATGTCAAATGTATCTTCAGGTGAAACTTTGTTTACTTCACTGTCACTTTGTTTTTTCTGTTTCAGGATCTGAAGAAACCGTTTGATAAAGCCTGGAGGGACTACGAGACAAAGTTGTGAGTTGGTTTAAATTTGGCTTTTAAACCCAGAATGTGACGTCCTCACATGAGGGCGTCACATTCTGGGTTTACTGGACCTTATACTTCATCCTGCTTCACTCAGGCCTGTTGTCCTTGATCGTGGACATCTAGTGGCAGTGACACCACAACACACTAATCCATGTAAAAACAAGATAACCGCCATCTCTGCTGAGTCAGACTGCGGCCGACCCGGAGACAGACGTGGACAAAACCTGATCACATGTTAGGGTCCAAACTTAATTTATGATTAATAAAGTTTGTAGTTTGATATGACGACAAATTTGATCAGTGTTAGCAACAATAACAAGACGCTGTTAATTAGGCAGAACTCGTTTGAGAACATGGGACTTTATTATGTTCTCACATGAGGACGTAATTTTTTTCTAAATCTACTTCCTGTTTAAAGACAGTGTTTAGTCTTTTGACACTGATCAGGTCGAACTGAGACCTTACAAATACAAGCCGAACAGGAAGTGGAGTGTCAGGAGGCTGTGACAGGTGTAGCAGGTGTGTGTTCACCTCACCTGTAGTAAAGATGACAGGATGAGACGGCTGCAGTGAATGAAAACATGACTGTAAAATTAAGGAGGAGCTCAAATGGAGCCCTGAGGGACGCCAGCAGCTCTCAGATAACGATGGTACAACGTAGATAAAACATTTGTCAGTTTTTTACACCATGAGCCCGCTCTCTGTCTCTGTGGGACATAAACAGGATATGATGTAATGTTAATGTGCAGAACTGATGATGTCATGTCAACTGGTGATGCCATCCACAAAGGGGTGACGCTGTTTACTGCTGGTGATGACCAGGTGTTCAGGAAGTGCGCCAGGCTTTGAAGCTAATTTTCATAGTGATCAAACCATGTAGCTACAACTTCCTGCTCTGTCAGGTGATGTCACTGGGCCCAGAAAGTCTTTGTCCCATTGACTCACATCATGAAAGAGACGTCTGTGGACACATTTATCCACAAGGCATCTCTCCTCACTGTCAGGATTTAATCCACCTGGTCCAATAACGCTTGGGACGTTTAAGTCTCAGGATTAAATTATTCTGAGACTGAAGACGTAAAGATCAACAAGACGTAATTTCTTTATCTCGACCATTTGTCTTTCATGGTTTTAAATCTAGTTGTTAAACTGACAAGTGTGAGATGTCGTGGTTCTGTTTGCTGCAGAGCTCTGAGTCGGTCTCAGGTGAAGTCACTGACAGAGGCTGTTACCTGAGGACGTGACGAACAGGTGTGACCGACAGCTTTTTATTGTCTGTTTTTCAGCACGAAGATCGAGAAGGAGAAGAGAGAGCACGCCAAACAACACGGGATGATCCGGACAGAAATCACCGGAGCTGAGATTGCTGAGGAGATGGAGAAAGAGAGGAGACTGTTCCAGCTGCAGATGTGTGAGGTACACAGAGGCCCAATTCCAATCCGATCTCTTACAGACTCACTGACTTAGAGGCGCGTTCATGTGAAGTGTGTGAGTGTGTGAGGGCTGTCCCACTGTCAAATCGTCAAGTCAGTGAATCAGTCAGTGAGTGAGCCCTTTATGCCCCCTTACCGCAGGTCAGCATCGATGCGGACTTACGGTAAGGAAATTACCCACAGTTCATAGCGTTGTGACGTCAAATACAGGGGTTGCCAAAAGAACACCGGAAGTGTTATAAAAACCTGTAAACAAATAAACACGGTCGGCAGATTTGCAAACGGTAACGATATAGATATAGATATATAGATATATATAAGATAGATATCACTATATCATTTACAACACTTTTGATGCTAGTTTAGAAAAAACATGCATATGGTAAAAACACAGTAAATTCATTATTTCAAACTTACCTCTTGCCCATTTTGCAACGCAAGTGCTTGAATAAGGATTGACTGATCAGGGAGTCTATTCCTCACACGCCTTGTGCGTGCTGACAATAACCGATAAATGATCACGCCCAGAGCCGCCAGTGTCAACAACATTTTGTAGAGAGGGGGATAAGTGCTGGAGCCCTTTCAGACTCTCACACTCAATCACTTACAGCTGACGTCAGTTAAGACAGTGAGGGTTCAGGGCTTGAGTCTTTAGGGGCCGGATTGGAATTGGGCCAGAGTCCTTACAGCAGCAGCAGCGATGGCGCCACCCTCAGGCTGCAGGTGTGACTAACAGCTGAGTGTCTTTGTGTCCAACAGTATCTGATCAAAGTCAACGAGATTAAAACCAAGAAGGGGGTGGACCTGCTGCAGAACCTCATCAAGTATTACCACGCTCAGTGCAAGTAAGAACCGTCACTTCAGCCTCAGCTGTACGTCTGCACTTTATTTTGAAAAGTCTCTGAACCTCGTGTGATGACTTCCTGTCTGCAGTTTTTTTCAGGATGGGTTGAAAACAGTTGATAAACTGAAGCAGTACATCGAGAAACTGGCAGCCGACCTGTTCAATGTAAGAGCCTCGTATGTCCTGTTCTGACTGATCAGCTCAGGTGAGCTCTCAGGTGAGCTCTCAGGTGAGCCCACAGTGAGCTCTCAGGTGAGCCCACAGTGAGCTCTCAGGTGAGCCCACAGTGAGCTCTCAGGTGTGACCTGTCTCCACAGATCAAACAGAGTCAGGATGAGGAGAAGAAGCAGCTGACGGCTCTCAGAGATCTCATCAAGAGCTCCTTACAGCTGGACCAGAGGGAGGTACAACACCTGGGAGGGTGGGGGTGATGAGGTCACACAGTTGGACGCCAACATCGCTAGATGCTGATATTTGGTTGAATTTAGGTTGTGATGTCAGTAGGGATGGTTGAATACATTAGGGATGAGACATTTTCTTGTTTTATTTAACGGAAGTGATCAGTGTAAGAGCACTTGTCCTTTAAACGCAATAAAAAAAAAGCTAACAAAATAAAAGACGCCTGGTACATTCAGGCCTGTCAGTTTGTAGAACAGTTTTGAACAGTTAGAACAAGAGGCTGCACTGCAACGTGCAAATCACTCCTTCTTGTGGCTGCCTGCGCTTTCCCTGTCCTTGTGGCTGCAACTTGCGTTCTCTTCATCTAGTTCATTGCCAGTTTAAAAACTACAACACCCATAATTCATGTAGGAACTGCTGCAGCCAATGTGCAGCCGGCGGGAGCTGCAGGACGACTCAACCACCATGATCAGTGTTTAATGTTTCATCAGGCGGTAACTCCTCCAGACTCTGCTCTGGTGAAATTCTAACGTTGTCATTTAAAATATGGGTCTGGGTGGAGTTTAGTTAAACTGAGTATAATGGGGTTTAATGGAGCTGGGAGGGACTTAAAATGGTGGAGTGGGGTTTATCAGCACACCTGAACAGAGCTGATAGGCTGATGCAATAAGGCGGGGTTTAACCACAGACAGTATAGATAATAGACCCAGCCACCATAACGTGGACTCCTCAGCAGTGAGCATATTTCAATGAGAGGGAGGAGCATATTTTATTGAATGTTTATCTGTACAGAGACATGTAGCAGACATAAATGCCACACCACAGCATTTATAGCCTGAGCTAATGTGCAGTGCCCGTCCCTCGCTGGGCCTTAAGATACAAAAGACTCAGCAACAAAACACACGTGACAGTTTAGAGTCACATCAGTAACAGTAGAGACAAAACAAGACACAAACTGCACCACAGAATAGGAAGCACCAAATTATTTATGACTGCATCACTGATTCTTATTCAAAAAGTGTTTCAGTTTGAGTTTAAAGTGATTGAAATCAGGATCCAGTTTGTCTGGAAGGTAAAGAATTCCGCAGACAGAATTGTCCAAATGTGGATTTACACAGGTGAACCTGACAGTTCCCACTGGCTGCGCCATGTGTTACTGAGCCTGAAGCTCTGAGTGGAACCACGAGGTCACAAAGCACCTGGGGAGCCTGATTATGTAGGCGTTTATGGATGAGTTTGAAATTAATGAAATCATCAAAACTCAGTATGTTTAGTTTCTGAAGAACATGACAATGATGTGCTCTTATTGGTTTTCTGTCCAAAATTTTAATTGCCCGATTATATCTCATCATAAGAGGCTTAATTTTTGTAGATGCTGCTTGTGACCAAGAGGTTACACAGAAAGCTTAGCCTGATGCTAGCTGCTAGCTTTGTTAGCATGGTGCATTTACAGCTATGGTAAACTTTGATAATGCTAATGCTGATTTTGGCTAACTTAAAACATACTTGAAAACAAAATGTATCTGACACCTGACTTCTTCGACGGTGTCTTTGTCCAATTATTTTCTGCTGTAAACATGTAACATGGCTGTCTGTGGGGACCGACACCCTCTGGTGGACATTAGAGGAACTGCTGTGTCGTCTGGAGGTCGCTCCTCATACCTGGAGAGAGCTGATAGGCTGTGCTGTGGAGGGCGGGGTCAGGGGTGTGGTCTAATGTGATACACCTGTCAGTTCTAAAAAAAAAACTGATAACATGATGAAGTGTATGTTTGAGTATGAACAGCTCACCTGTACCTGCCTCACTCAGCCAATGACCTTTGACCTCTGTCTCTGTCTCTCTGTCGCCCTCTGACTGAAGTCCAGGAGAGTAAGTCAATCATTAGATATAATAATTAACCATCTGTTAATGACGTACGTCCCTGCTGACAGACAGACTGATCCAGACTGTTTCCTGTAGTATTTATACATATCCTGTTTGTTTGTTTGTTTGTTTGTTTGTTTGTCAGGACTCTCAGAGTAAACAGAGTGGGTACAGTATGCACCAGCTGCAGGGAAACAAGGAGTTTGGCAGTGAGAAGAGAGGATACCTGCTGAAGAAGAGTGACGGGTACGACTGTTTGATTATTCACCTGCACAGGGGTCAACAGGATGTTTGACATGTGTGGACTATAACAAAGCCTCTGTAGGCTCTTGTGGGCCCCTGTAGGCTCCTGTGGGCCCCTGTAGGCTCCTGTGGGCCCCTGTAGGTTTTGTTTCAGTCACACTCTGGTGACAAGTTTTCAGTCTGAAGCTTCAGTGTGTTTGTGTGTTCATCAGGCTGAGGAAGGTCTGGCAGAGGAGGAAATGTTCAGTGAAGAGCGGCTTCCTCACCATTGCTCATGCTACAGTAAGTACCACATCTACCATCATGCATTGCACCCATCAGCATCAGGACACAGCACCAGTGTTCAGTTTTATCAGGCTGATAAACTAAAGATATCTCAGATTAATTTTCTCTGCGGTCCCGTAGAGAACATTACACATTACCATTTGTAATGTGTTTACAAATGGTCAACAGACAGAACAACGGCAGCAGCAAAGGATCCAGGACAAATCTGTACGTTACTCCACAAATCTGTACGTTACTTCACAAATCTGTACATTACTTCACAAATCTGTACATTATTCGACAAATCTGTACGTTCCTCCACAAATCTGTACGTTACTTCACAAATCTGTACATTATTCGACAAATCTGTACGTTCCTCCACAAATCTGTACGTTACTTCACAAATCTGTACATTATTCGACAAATCTGTACGTTCCTCCACAAATCTGTACGTTACTCCACAAATCTGTACGTTACTTCACAAATCTGTACATTATTCGACAAATCTGTACGTTCCTCCACAAATCTGTACGTTACTCCACAACTCTGTACGTTACTTCACAAATCTGTACGTTACTTCACAAATCTGTACATTATTCGACAAATCTGTGCGTTCCTCGACAAATCTGTACGTTACTTAACAAATCTGTATGTTACTCCACAAATCTGTACGTTACTTCACAAATCTGTACGTTACTTCACAAATCTGTACGTTAATCTCCAAATCTGTACGTTATTAACAAATCTGTACATTCCTCCACAAATCTGTACGTAACTCCATAAAGCTGTACGTTACTTCACAAATCTGTACGTTACTTCACAAATCTGTACGTTATTCGACAAATCTGTACGTTACTCCATAAAGCTGTACGTTACTTAACACATCTGTACGTTACTTCACAAATCTGTACGTTACTTCACAAATCTGTACGTTATTCGACAAATCTGTACGTTACTTCACAAATCTGAACGTTACTTAACAAATCTGTATGTTATTTGACAAATCTATACGTTACTTCATAAATCTGTACATTATTCGACAAATTTGTACATTCCTCCACAAATCTGTACGTTCCTCCACAAATCTGTATGTTACTTCACAAATCTATACGTTACTTCACAAATCTGTACGTTAATCGACAAATCTGTACGTTACTTAACAAATCTGTACGTTACTTCACAAATCTGTATGTTACTCCATAAAGCTGTACGTTACTTAACACATCTGTACGTTACTTCACAAATCTGTACGTTATTCGACAAATCTGTACGTTACTCCACAAATCTGAACGTTACTTAACAAATCTGTACGTTATTCGACAAATCTGTACGTTACTCCACAAATCTGTACGTTCCTCCACAAATCTGTACATTATTTGACAAATCTGTACGTTACTCCACAAATCTGTATGTTACTTAACAAATCTGTACATTACTCCACAAATCTGTACGTTACTTCACAAATCTGTACGTTAATCGACAAATCTGTATGTTACTTAACAAATCTGTACGTTCCTCCACAAATCTGTACGTTACTCCATAAAGCTGTACGTTACTTAACACATCTGTACGTTACTTCACAAATCTGTACGTTACTTCACAAATCTGTACGTTATTCGACAAATCTGTACGTTACTCCACAAATCTGTACATTACTCCACAAATCTGTATGTTATTTGACAAATCTGTACGTTACTCCAGAAATCTGTACGTTACTCCAGAAATCTGTACGTAACTTCACAAATCTGTATGTTATTTGACAAATCTATACGTTACTCCAGAAATCTGTACATTACTCCAGAAATCTGTACGTTACTTCACAAATCTGTATGTTATTTGACAAATGTGTACGTTACTTCACAAATCTGTATGTTATTTGACAAATGTGTACGTTACTCCAGAAATCTGTACGTTAATTCACAAATCTGTACGTTACTCCACAAATCTGTACGTTACTCCACAAATCTGTACGTTACTTCACAAATCTGTACATTATTCCATAAATCTGTACGTTACTCTGTGACATCACGTCAAATGAAAACACATAGCCTGCACCATAGTTCATATTTACAGAGACAAAGTAAGATTTGAATTGAAATAATATAAAATAAAGTCATCTCTCTGTCAGCTGATCGCTCTGACTGAAGCTGTGTGTTATTAAAGGACCAGTCCGTGTTTTATTGAGGACTCAGTGACGATAACAGACTGAGGATGAATCAGAGCTGAAGACAGGAAACTCTCTGTCTGTCTGTCCGTCTGCTGATGCTGAGTCACATTATTAAATATTCAGCAGCCGATGTGGAGTCAGATTTCAGTGTCTCCTTTCAGCGTCCATCTAAACTGAACTCTTCAGGTTAAATTCTGATTCTGTTTACAGCTGCAGTGAGTCGGGTCAGAGGGACAGAAATATGAGACATCTGGTTTATTGACTGTGAAATCACCTGAAGATAAAAACTGTTTTGATTTTATCAAAATCAATGCTCGTATAAAGTTTTTTTTAAAACACAGTAAAACCAGTTAGAACAAGGAGACTGGTTCACTGCTGATGTGCTGTAAGATGACAAAGTCTGATGTTTAAAGGCCTGTCTGTCTGTCTATCTGTCTGTCTGTCTGTCTGTCCATGTGTCTGTCAGTCTAACAGACAGCCTGTCAGACTGAACCTGCTCACCTGTCAGGTGAAACCCAGCGCAGAGGACAAGAAGTGCTTCGACCTGATCTCCCGTAGGTCTCGCTGATGATGATGATGACGATGATGATGATGATGATGATGATGACGATGATGATGATGATGATGACGATGATGACGATGGTGATGATGATGGTGATGATGATGATGGTGATGATGATGATGATGATGATGATGATGTCCTGTCCTGCAGATAATCGGACGTACCACTTTCAGGCTGAAGACGAGGCAGAGTTTGTCAGGTGAGACTGTGAAACATCTGAACATCTTCATCACCTGTGACACATCTGAGACTCTGTGTGTGTGTGTGTGTGTGTGTGTGTGTGTGTGTGTGTGCTGCAGTTGGGTGTCTGTGCTGACCAACAGTAAGGAGGAGGCCCTGAATGTGGCGTTTCAGGGCGGAGGTCAGAGCTCAGTGTGGAGTGTGGAGGAGGAGGAGCTTATCAAGAGCATCATTGACGAGGTGCTGCGGTCACCAGGCAACAACATCTGCTGCGACTGTGGAGCTTCAGGTTGGTGTGTGTGTGTGTGTGTGTGTGGTCAGAGCCATGCTGGTGATGATGTCACCTGACGAACTTGTTGATTGTTTAGATCCTCGCTGGATCACCACTAACCTCGGCGTCCTGACCTGCATCGAATGTTCAGGGATTCACAGAGAGATGGGAGTCCATGTGTCCAGAATCCAGAGTCTGGAACTGGATAAACTGGGAACGTCTGAGCTGCTGGTAACCTCAGCTGTCTGTGTGTCTGTCTGTCTGGGTGTCTTGCTCTCTCTCTCTGTCCCTTCTGCATACATGACTACAATGGGTCGCGTGCTGATGACATCATAGGCGATAGAAACATGGGGTTGTGATTGGCTGCAGAGCCTCTTCACACACATCAAGTGTAAATAAACCCAATCAGTTGAGTCAGTCAGGCTCCAGAGAGAGAGACACGGGTCGTAACGCCTTCGCTACGACGAGGAAGTGAAAATGATGTGTGTCCTTCACAGCTGCCAGCCTCTGTGTGGACAGTCAGTTCATTACTTAACATTCATTAGAATTAACTTCTTGGCTTTGAACATCTCATGTTATTGTTGAGATCAACTGACGTTAGCTAGCTGGCTAACGTTAGCCATCTAATCTGTGATGAAGTTCGTTCCACAGACGTGACGCTGGTGTAATGATCCACAGCTGTGCGTGTGACGCTGTGAGCCACAGATTTCTCTCTGGGAGCATTATTTGTTTGCTGTGCAGTGAACAACGCAGCAACTTTTCAGCATTGTGAACTCCGAGCCGCACGACGAGCGTCTCTCCCGGGTCAAGTTCATAACTTTCACTTAACAGGGGGCGTGGCCATTGTGACGGCAGTGAGTGACGTTGCGTTGAAGTCATCCCGTCTCTTTGTTGACTCTCCTTACATCCTGTCAGCTTGCCAGGAATGTTGGGAACTGTAGTTTTAATGACATCATGGAGGCCGGCCTATCATCTCTGTCCCTGAAGCCGACGGCGTCCAGCGACATGTGAGTGTCTGTATCAGTGAACGTGTCTCCACCCAGGGAGGAGGCGACGTCTCGTGTCTCACCTGTTTTACCTGCTGCTCTCTGCAGGATGGTCAGGAAGGAGTTCATCAACGCCAAATACATCGACCGCAAGTTCATCAGGCGCACCGTCTCCATGGTGACCAGCGGGCTGAACGAGGTGTACGAAGCGGTGCGATCCAGAGACCTGCTGTCAATCATCCAGCTGTATGCTGAGGGGGTGGAGCTTCTGCAGCCCTTACCTGAACCAGGGAAGGTGTGTTAAACATGAACCCTGTCTGTCGTCACCTCCACCTGAACGTTTTGCTGCGTTCACAGACGGCAACATCACAACCTTCATTATCACCGAGTCGCTGTTCAAGTGTTAGTTAACGTAGTGATGTCATCATCAGCTTCCTGCCACAAAGCAGCTGGACTGAGCGTCAGCTGAAGTCTGAATTAGGTCATGAGATATTTATATTTCTGATCTGTCACGTTTCACCGCCACATGGCGTCTGAACGTAAAGCTAGCACAGCTTCAGCTAACTGAACACAGCTGGAAACAAAACATCTTCAGTTGGAAGCTTCATGTCAGCAGCATGATGTCATGTTCACACTAGGAGCAGTGGAAACTGGAGACATGAAGCTACAAACTGACGCGCAACAAATCAGAGCTCAACTGTCTTCAGCGCTCCAATGACGCAGCGAAGCATCAGCCAATCAGATGTCTTTGTTTCCAGCTGTGGTTATTCAACTCAGTTAGCTGAAACTATGCTAGCTTTCTGTGTACACAGGGACAGAACATGGCGGCAAAATGTGGCGTTGAAATGAGGAGATATTTTCATGATGAAATAAAAACATTTGATCGAGGTGATTTGTGGCGGCAAGCAGGAGCACGTGACACGTGACGAGCCCGTGACATCATAACTACGTTAACAAGTGATTGAGCAACACTTCAACAGCGACACTGTGATGATGCAGCTGGTCACACTGCTGCTGTGTCACAGTGTGAGCGCAGTGTTAGACGTGTCAGTCAGAGGTCAGAGGTCAGGGTCAGAGGTCAAGGTCAGAGGTCAGGGTCAGAGGTCAGGGGGCGGTTCCTCTGTGTTTGTCTGTGACCGGGAGGATTCAGGAGGAAGTAGCTGCTCTCAGCTTCCTGTGGAAACGAGACGGCGCTGAAACTGTCTCTGAGACCTCCTCTTCCTCCTCTCCCTCCTTCTCCTCCTCTTCCTCTTCTCCCTCCTCTTCCTCCTCTCCCTCCTTCTCCTCCTCTTCCTCTTCTCCCTCCTCTTCCTCCTCTTCCTCCTCTCCTCCTCTTCTTCCTGCCTCTCACTATAATCAGACTGTGGCAAGGCAGCAACAGCCAATCAGAGGTAAGGACGCAGCTGTCCGTCATGTGCGTCACAGCTGATCCTGTTTCTCTCCTCAGAAGTTTTCACAAACATATTTTACTGTGAAAGGAGAGTGTCCATCGGGCTTCGTTGAACTGTCTCCAATATGGCGGCCGGGTCACAAACAGCTAAACACTAAAATGTGTTTGTGACTCAGAGAAACAGGAAATGCAGGAACAGAACCTTTATTCAGATTCCATTCTCCACGTCGGCGACAGCCACGGACGGGGCGTTATGTCCGTCCTGTGATATAAACATATTTAACATATTCGAAACAATCAGCCAAAAACGATGAATAAACAAAATTTTTCCAGAATATTCTGGAAAGTCCAGACCTCTGAGTATTTGATCAGCTGCGTCACACTCCTCTGCTCTGAATGGTTGTTTTCAGTCACATGTAGCGAGGACATTAGAAAAGACACACACGCACACACACACACACACACACACACACACACACACACACACAGGTTGGCTGAGTTCAGTTTGATGTTTTGTGTTCAGGAATCAGGAGAGACGGCGTTACATCACTGTGTGCAGACAGCTGACCCCTCCTCCCTCCACCTGGTCGACTTCCTGGTTCAAAACAGGTATGAAACTGTGTGTGTATGTGTGTGTGTGTGTGTGTGTGTGTGTGTGTGTGGCATAACGACTGGAGACAGGAGGAAACTGTTAGCCTATCATGTCTCTCCATGTTGTAAACTCTGGGGGCGGGGCCTCTAAATCCAGAACATATCAGGGCGGGATCTTTAAATGTCGGCCACATTTGTCAACAGCTGATCGCGCACACGCCATGACATGAGAACATTTCATGACTGAACTCTTGTCATTAGACTGATAAATGAGGACCAGTGTGTGTGTTAATGTGTCTGTCTGTGTGTCCAATTGTCTGTCTGTCTGTTTGTCTGTCTGTCTGTCTGTCTGTCTGCAGTGGTAACCTGGACGGACAGACAGACGGAGGAAACACAGCTCTGCATTACTGCTGTCTGTACAACAAGTCAGAGTGTGTGAAGCTGCTGTTGAGAGGAAAACCTGACATCACCATCAGTGAGTACTCTCACTTCTCCAAGTCCAGGACTGTTAGCCTAGCTTAGCACAAAGACTGGAAACAGGGGGAAACTGTTAGCCTAGCTTAGCGCAAAGACTGGAAGCAGGGGGAAACTGTTAGCCTAGCTTAGCACAAAGACTGGAAGCAAGGGGAAACTGTTAGCCTAGCTTAGCACAAAGACTGGAGGAAGGGGGAAACTGTTAGCCTAGCTTAGCACAAAGACTTGAGGCAAGGGGAAACTGTTAGCCTAGCTTAGCACAAAGACTGGAGGAAGGGGGAAACTGTTAGCCTAGCTTAGTATAAAGACTGGAAGCAGGGGAAACTGTTAGCCTAGCGTAGCACAAAGACTGGAAGCAGGGGGAACTGTTAACAAACTTCCTGTGTTTCGTGTCTTCTCAGCCAATCAGAGTGGAGAGACAGCTCTGGACATCGCCCAAAGACTGAAGAACTCTCAGTGTGAAGAACTGGTAGGAAACATGACTTGAACCAATCAACAACATGTCAACATGTGCTGGCCAATCAGATGAGAATTCCCCATTTTGTAATTGGTTGGCCCACAGATATTGTTAAAAAAATGTGTCCATGTGACCTTCATTTTACAAAATATCTCTGTCGACACCAGAACATGAAACTGACTCCAGAGCACAGTGGCATTAGCGGTCTCCAGCAGTCCACCTCGTCTCAAAGATTGTGAAGACGTTAATGTTAGCTTTTTAAAACTTGTCAGGAGATCTCCTCACTGCTGACTCTTGTTCAGTGTAAGGACGAAGGAGCTCACTCAGACATACGAGAACGTTTTCTCCCAGTATACTCTGGAAAGTGTCCCACCATCTGCTGGTTCCACCGGTCTTGATCCAAAACCCTTGGTTCTGGTGAACTTTAAACCGCTGAGGTGGAGCAGAAACATCCGGCGCAGCAGACACCTCTGTTTGATCATTCATTAAATAAAGCTGCAGTGATAGGACCAAACGGTGACACAACATTAGTGAACCAGTTGTCTGCTGTTTCCAGAGTGTGATGATTACAGAGAGGAACCATGGACATGATCCATTTAGAAAAATCAGCACCTGAGAAGGCGTTTTCAGGAATTTCTGTTTTGAGTGACCCAAAGTTCTGTTTGTCTGGACGACAGGACGTAAACTAACCTCCGCAGCAATCAGTACCCCCCCCAGCTGAACCCTGACCTCTCTGTTCTGTCTGTTATGATCTGTATAACAAACATGATGTAATCATCACTTGTAGTGTGCTGATGTCACAGGAGCGCTGGTCATAGCTGTGGCCAGAAGCATGATGTTTTTGTGTTGTCCATCCATGTTTCCCATTCTGGTGTACATGATATCTGGACATGTTCTCCCTGTGTCAGCGTGGGTTTCCTCCAGGTGCTCTGACATGTTCTCCCTGTGTCAGCGTGGGTTTCCTCCAGGTGCTCTGACATGTTCTCCCTGTGTCAGCGTGGGTTTCCTCCAGGTGCTCTGACATGTTCTCCCTGTGTCAGCGTGGGTTTCCTCCAGGTGCTCCAGCTTCCTCCCACAGTCCAAAGACATGCAGGTTAATTGGTGACTCTAAATTGTCCATAGGTGTGAATGTGAGTGTGAATGGTTGTCTGTCTCTATGTGTCAGTCCTGTGATAGTCTGGTGACCTGTCCAGGGTGAACCCTACCTCTCACCCAGTGTCAGCTGGGATAGGCTCCACCCCCTGCGACCCCTAACAGGATTAGTGGTTACAGAAAATGAATGAATGAATCAAGGTCAAAGGTCAGTGTGACCTCACAAAACAATGTTTTTGTCCATAACTAAAGAATTCATTCACTAATTCTGGCCAAACTTGACACAAATGTCTAACAGGATAAAATAATGAAGGTCAAAAGGTCAAGGGTCAGCTTGACTGTGACATCATCATGTTTTCACGTCATATCTCAGGAACAGAAGGGGAGACATTTGGTCAGATACTGAATTGGTGACTCTGGGAGGGGGCTGATTTGACCAATAGAGAAAGACCTTGGTGAAGGAGTGGGCGGAGTCTGCTGTAGATTCTAACAGTGAAGATGTATTTTAGAGCCACTGATATGAAGCTGTTGTGTCACTGAGTGGAAGATGAACACTTCCTGTCTGTCTCCCAGCTGGTGGAGGCGGTGTCCGGCAGGTTTAACCCTCACGTTCACGTTGAATACGACTGGAACCTCCGACTGGATGAACTGGACGAGAGCGACGACGAACTGGACAATAAGGTAACACCAAGCAAACTGATGAATGACTGATGGCCTGTTGTTTATGACCTCCTGCTTCATGTTCTGGTGCTCCTCCTCCTGCAGCCCAGTCCAGTGAAGAAGGAGCGCTCCCTCCGTCCTCAGAGTTTCTGTCCATCCTCCAGTCTGTCCTCGCAGGAGAAGCTCTCTCTGCCAGCTTCCTTTGTTCCTCCTCACAGGGACAAGCAGCGTCCCTCCTATGGGGCGTTCGCCGACCCCGTCGACAGCACCTCCGCTGACACGTCTCCGTCCCCAGGGCCTGACATCTCAGGGCCTTCACCTGCTGCCAGGAGCCATGGCAGAGGTAAGACAAGGTGGTCTCAAACAAGGGGGGAGGAGCCAGGGGAGAGATTAGGGGAGGAGGAGGCATTGATGTTTTTTGGGTTTGTGTTCCAGCATCCCTTGATGTTAGTGAGCACTTCCTCCTCCTCACTGTGAACCAAAGAACCATTCAGTGTCATGTTATCTGTACTGTTGGTTCCTCCCCCAGGCCCTGTCACCGTCCCGCCCACCTCCCTGCCCCTCACGTCCCACATCAGTGGAGGAGGAGGAAGCTCCACCCTGAAGAAGAGACCCCCTCCCCCTCCACCTGGACACAAGCGCACCCTGTCTGACCCTCCCAGCCCAGTCCTGCAGGGAGTCGCAGGTAAAGGTAAGACTGCCTCTGTAGTACCGCACAACCCAAAACCCATCTGACCTCTGACCTCTGAGCACATTGCGTCCAACCAGGAAGTGAGCTGACCCCCCCACTGGGAAACAGGACATCACCTGCAAACAAGTTTGAGAGAATCCAGCAGCAGCAGAGGTATTTATACTTTCTATCCTCAGAGTGGAATACACTCAGATACAAGTCCTATGGTGAAAATGACCTCTGACCTCTCCTCACCTTCTCCAACACCACCTCCAGTAACACCAAGTCCACATTGGGACCCAGAGTTCTGCCCAAACTACCTCAGAAAGGTGAGACAATGTCTGTTTGTATCAGCGGCCACCTGATGTCACAGCAGAGGTCGTATCTGTGTGATGTTGCTGCTGGTCTTTAGTCCTGTTTCCACCACAGGGACAGTCTGTCTCTGCGTCTGCTGGTTCTCATGCTAAATGTAGGTCCTGCTCAGAGTCTGATGTTCAGAGTCTGATGTTCAGGGTCTATCTTAATAGTTAGCAATGGCTTCTCCTGCTCTTTCTTGCTCGGTGTGCCAGATGTTCAGTTATGCCTCTGCCTCCTTTAGCAACAGTGGTAATTGTAACAAGTGTAGTTTATTTGCTGCGTTGGAGGCGAGGCTTAGTGAATTAGAAGCGCAGCTCCGCACCATGGAAAATCACTCGGTAGCTGCGGTAGTTAGCCAGCCCCCTGTAGCCGGCGTGGAGCCACTTAGCATAGCCTCCGCTAGCGGTCCCCCGGTAACACCCATTCAGCCGGGAGGCTGGGTAACTGTCCGTGAGAAGCGTAGTACTCCTGCTACAGAGACTGGATCAGTTAATTGGCCTAAAAGGTTCTGCACTAAGCTGGTTTAAATCTTATTTATCTGATCGTTTTCAGTTTGTTCACGTTCATAATGAATCATCCTTACGTACCAAAGTTTGTTTTGGAGTTCCGCAAGGTTCTGTGCTCGGACCAATCCTATTTACTCTATATATGCTTCCTTTAGGTAACATCATTAGAAATCACTCTATAAATTTCCATTATTATGCGGATGATACACAGTTGTATTTATCTATGAAGCCAGAAGAAAGTAATCAATTAACTAAACTCCATAACTGCCTTAAAGACATAAAAACCTGGATGAGCACCAATTTCCTGATGTTAAATTCAGACAAAACTGAAGTTATTGTTCTTGGCCCCAAACAACTCAGAGACTCTTTATCTGATGACATAGTTTCTCTAGATGGCATTGCTCTGGCCTCTAGCACTACCGTAAGAAACCTCGGAGTAATATTTGATCAAGATTTGTCTTTTAATTCTCATTTAAAACAAACCTCACGGACTGCATTTTTTCAACTGCGTAATATTGCGAAAATTAGGCCTATCCTGACCCGAAAAGATGCAGAAAAATTGGTCCACGCTTTTGTTACCTCTAGGCTGGATTACTGTAACTCTCTATTATCAGGTAGCTCTAGTAAGTCCTTAAAAACTCTCCAGCTAATTCAGAATGCAGCAGCACGTGTACTAACAGGAACTAAGAAACGAGATCATATTTCTCCTGTTTTAGCTTCTCTGCACTGGCTCCCTGTAAAATCCAGAATTGAATTTAAAATCCTACTGTTAACTTATAAAGCTCTAAATGGTCAAGCTCCGTCATATCTTAGAGAGCTCATAGTGCCATATTATCCCACCAGAACACTACGCTCTGAGAACGCAGGGTTACTCGTGGTCCCTAAAGTCTCCAAAAGTAGATCAGGAGCCAGAGCCTTCAGCTATCAGGCCCCTCTCCTGTGGAATCATCTTCCTGTTACGGTCCGGGAGGCAGACACCGTCTCCACATTTAAGACTAGACTTAAGACTTTCCTCTTTGATAAAGCTTATAGTTAGGGCTGGCTCAGGCTTGCCCTGTACCAGCCCCTAGTTAGGCTGACTTAGGCCTAGTCTGCCGGAGGACCCCCCTATAATACACCGGGCACCTTCTCTCTCTCTCTCTCTCTCTCTCTCTCTCTCTCCCTCGTATTCTATTACTGCATCTTGCTAACTCGGCCATTCTGGATGTCACTAACTCGGCTTCTTCTCCGGAGCCTTTGTGCTCCACTGTCTCTCAGATTAACTCATATCACAGCGGTGCCTGGACAGCGTGACGTGTGTGGTTGTGCTGCTGCCGTGGTCCTGCCAGATGCCTCCTGCTGCTGCTGCCATCATTAGTCATTAGTCATACTTCTACTGTTATTATACACATATGACTATTGTCACACATGTATACTGCCAGATATTAATACATACTTTCAACATATTGTACCACAGTAGCCAGAACTATAATTATAATATTATTACTTTCATTAATGTTGTTGTAAGCTACTGTCATTACCGTCTGTCCTGCATCTCTCTCTCTCTCTCTGTCTCTCTCTCTCTCTCTCTCTCTCTGTCTCATTGTGTCATACGGATTACTGTTAATTTATTATGCTGATCTGTTCTGTACGACATCTATTGCACGTCTGTCCGTCCTGGAAGAGGGATCCCTCCTCAGTTGCTCTTCCTGAGGTTTCTACTGTATTTTTTTCCCCGTTAAAGGGTTTTTTGGGGAGTTTTTCCTGATCAGCTGTGAGGGTCATAAGGACAGAGGGATGTCGTATGCTGTAAAGCCCTGTGAGGCAAATTGTGATTTGTGATATTGGGCTTTATAAATAAAATTGAACTGATTCATTCATTCATTGATGTTGTTAATATCCCGTACAGCTTGATTCAGGCCTGTGGGAATATGAAGTGCAGATAAAATGGTCTAATTGAATTTGAATTGTTTGATGTGTGATTGCTTTCTGGTAGTCGTCTTTGCTATTGTTTGTCCATCTATAAGGTTGTTTTGTATAGTTCAGTTTACTGGGCTCCGCTGCGTGAGGGTCTGTTACTGTCTTTCTAATGTAGAGTGTGATTTTACTATGGTCAGATAAGGGTGTGAGGGGGCTGACTGTAAATGCTCTCAGACAGAAGGGGTCTAGGTCTGTTATGCTGTAGTCTACTGTGCTATTGCCAAGAGGAGAGCTGTGTGTGTAATGTCCAAAGGAGTCCCCTCGAAGCCGACCGTTAACCATGTACAGGCCTAGTGTTCGACAGAGCTGCAGTAGTTGGTGCCCGCTTTTGTTGACAGTTTTGTCAAAGTTGTTTCTGTGGAGATGTGAAGGATATGAAGGGAGAGGAATGCTGATGTGGCCAGGTATATGTCTGTCTCCCTGTGGAATAATAGAATCTGGTTCTACAACGCCCTCAAGTGGACATAATCATATCTACTTAACAGAACCCAGTGTGTAAAGGTCCCAACTACCAATCGACCGCTCTTAAAACTTACACTGGTGTCCCACAAGGGTCTGTACTAGGACCACTTCTGTTCAGTCTCTATATAAATGACTTGCCCTCTGTGTGCTCTGACGTGGAGACCCAGCTATATGCTGATGCAGTGATTTATGCCCATAGCAAGCACAAAACAACATGCTGCTGCAAAACTCACTAATGCACTGTACCACATCACAAACTGGCTAAACCAATCATGTCTTCAACTCAACACAACTAAAACTGTCAGCATGTTTTTCTCTAAAAATCCATCTACCACCTCAGAACCAGTCATAATGCTGTCAGGGAAAAAAAAATGCAAGTTGTCTCTGAATATAAATATCTGGGCATCCTGATCGATTCTCATCTGTCTTTCAAATCCCATGTTAAAAAAGTCCGTCAATGAGCCAAATTTAACTTATCCAGCTTCTGTTTTATCAGAAACTCAATGAACACCAACGCAGTCAAACTGTACATAAACACAATGATACTATCACATCTCACATACTGTTTGACAAGTTATGCACAGGCCAATAAAACAACACTAAAACCTCTCGAAGCACTGTACAAACAAATGCTCAAAGTTTTGGATCGCAGATCAAATGACTACCACCACTGCCTTATCTTAACAAAGTACAAACTTTTGAGCTGGGACAATTTAATCAAGTACACAAACCTTTGTCTTGTTTTTAAGATCATACATAACACTGCTCCCCCTGCACTTCAAACTTTCATCACACAGAGGTCAAGCAATAACCGGGCAACGAGAGGTGCAACCCGAGGAGACTGTGTCATACCCATTAGGAAAAGTGCCATTAGCCACTCAGCATTTTCAGTTAAGCCGTCGCAGGACTGGAATAGAGTACCAGTACACATCAGAGAACTCAGTTCACACCATTTGTTCACAAAACAGTTGAAATCATGGCTCATCAACAATCAAACCTGTACACATTAATACTCAACTGCTGCCTCTGTCCGCTCTTTAACAACTGCCTGCCTGCCATATTCTTTTGCTTATGTCTGTCTTGCTGTTGTTTGTCACAGTCTATGTTTGTTTCTTGTGAATTAGGCTGCTTTGGAATTGTTATTTGTAGAGTCTTGGCTTGCTCTGCTTTTATGTTTGTGTTGCTATGTTTACCTGTTACTATATTTTTATCTTATATCTTAAACTGCATGCAATGCTATTGTTTTAAACTTCTAACTTTTTTATTACTTAGGCTGCCAACTCAGATCTGGCCAGGGACTGCGGATGAAAACTAGCCTTTTGGCTAATTCCGGTATATTTACAGTTCACTGTTCATTAATATGCATTGTCCCTGATATGTGTGCTGATAAATTCTGGTTCTGTACCAGTCCTGGCATTCAGGTCTCCACAGATCAGTACACTTCCCTGGGCCTGGTAGTGACTGATCTCATCTTCAAGAATGGAGAAAGTATTTTCATTATAATAAGGGGATTCTGATGGGGGGATATATACTGCACACATGAATATATCTTTATCTGTGGCAACAATTTCTCTTTTTATTTTGAGCCAAATTGAAAATTCACCTTTTTTTATGAATTCAATTGAGTGTACAAGGTTTGCCTTATACCAGACCAGCATTCCACCTGCCCTGGCTTATTCCTTTCAGTTTGGTGGATGGGAACACCATCTTCTCTTGTAAAACAAATATATCTGCATCTCCTAACTCTGTGGTGAAGTCTGGGGTCTTGCTTTTAAGGCCAAAAGCAGAGGACCTCAGGCCCTGTATATTCAAACATGAAATAACAAATGATTTAGATTCCATTTAACTTAGATAACAACAACAATGAAAGAAAACTCAAACTAGTGCTCAATATTCAGTGTTAAAATGAGATAAACTCCCAAATCCTTTGTCAATAAATAAATGAAATTCAAAAGAAATTAATTTAAGAATACATTAATCATATGGGTGTCAATCTACTAATATGTAATAATTTACACTTTTAATCAACATAAAAATACGTTTTTTTCCTTCTCACTGTGTAAAATAAAAAATAAAAAAAAGCAATAAGCTCTGTGAGTTGTCTACTCTGGTACCTGACCTATTAGGTGAGAGCAGAGCAGGCTGAGTATCTGTTGGATGTCTCTTAGCCCATTGTGTGGGGGTTTGTGGATGGGGTCAGGGACTGCGGTGGTGGTGGTGACGGTTGGGCCTGTAGCTCTCATCGTTGCCTGAGCACAGGTCAGTGGGCCAGGTTGTAGATCCTGTCGCTGGGGTTGGGATGAGGGTAGGAGTGGCTCTGGTCTGGTTTTGGGCATGGTGTGGAGGTGGATGAGGATGATCTGGTCTCCATGGCGGTTGTCTGGGTGATGGTCCAGTGGGGCGCCTTGTTGGTCCAGTGGGGTGCCTTGTTGGTCCGGTGGGGCGCCTTGTTGGTCCAGTGGGGTGCCTTGTTGGTCCATGGGGTGCCTTGTTGGTCCAGTGGGGTGCCTTGTTGGTCCAGTGGGACGCCTTGTTGGTCCATGGGGCGCCTTGTTGGTCCAGTGGGGTGCCTTGTTGGTCCATGGGGTGCCTTGTTGGTCCAGTGGGATGCCTTGTTGGTCCATGGGGCGCCTTGTTGGTCCAGTGGGGTGCCTTGTTGGTCCAGTGGGGTGCCTTGTTGGTCCAGTGGGGCGCCTTGTTGGTCCATGGGGCGCCTTGTTGGTCCAGTGGGGTGCCTTGTTGGTCCAGTGGGGCGCCTTGTTGGTCCAGTGGGGTGCCTTGTTGGTTCAGTGGGGTGCCTTGTTGGTCCATGGGGTGCCTTGTTGGTCCATGGGGCGCCTTGTTGGTCCAGTGGGACGCCTTGTTGGTCCATGGGGCGCCTTGTTGGTCCATGGGGGGCCTTGTTGGTCCAGTGGGGTGCCTTGTTGGTCCAGTGGGACGCCTTGTTGGTCCATGGGGCGCCTTGTTGGTCCAGTGGGGCGCCTTGTTGGTCCATGGGGGGCCTTGTTGGTCCAGTGGGAGGCCTTGTTGGTCCATGGGGCGCCTTGTTGGTCCAGTGGGGCACCTTGTTGGTCCATGGGGGGCCTTGTTGGTCCAGTGGGGTGCCTTGTTGGTCCATGGGGGGCCTTGTTGGTCCAGTGGGGTGCCTTGTTAGTCCATGGGGGGCCTTGTTGGTCCAGTGGGGCGCCTTGTTGGTCCATGGGGGGCCTTGTTGGTCCAGTGGGGTGCCTTGTTGGTCCATGGGGGCTGTGGGCCAAGCTGCTCCTTCTGCGGGCTGTGGATTGGTCTCTGTTGAGAGCGACGTCTTTCAGTGTCCGGACGACTATGGGGACTGTGTGTTTAAATAGATGGACATGGTCGCAGAGGCAGTTGATATCCAGGGTGGGGTGGTGGGGTGGTGGGCCAGGTGGACGTTGGGCCTCAGGACACAGTCTCTGGACACACTGCTGTTGATCCTGTGAATGGTGTCAGGGTGGAAGTCTTTCCTTGGCAGCAGGGTTGACATGACCACTCTGCTGTTGGGGAAGGTGGTGGAAGCTTTCTCTATCACTCTTCTGAGTGACTCTGACACTCTCCTGCTGTCTCTCTCTCTGTCTCTCTCTCTCTGTCTCTGTCTCTCTCTCTCTCTCTCTCTCTCTGTCTCATTGTGTCATATGGATTACTGTTAATTTATTATGCTGATCTGTTCTGTACGACATCTATTGCACGTCTGTCCGTCCTGGAAGAGGGATCCCTCCTCAGTTGCTCTTCCTGAGGTTTCTACCGTTTTTTTCCTGATCAGCTGTGAGGGTCATGAGGACAGAGGGATGTCGTATGCTGTAAAGCCCTGTGAGGCAAATTGTGATTTGTGATATTGGGCTTTATAAATAAAATTGATTGATTGATTGATTGATTGATTGATATTCCGAGGTGCTTCTCAACGTCAACAGTGCTTTCTTGGCACAGTGGGTCCTTTCAAGTCAAATCCTCTCAATTCAAGTTTCAACAAGTTGTTCCAAGTCAACCTACTTTATTGCCTTACATTTTAGCAGTGTAAACGTTGTCGTGTCAGTACGACTCGGTTTTGAGATGCATTTAGAGGAGCATAGAGACACGTTCACAAATGCAGACTTTGACTACATCATTAATAAATTCCAGCTCACTGGTCCACTGAGCCGTTCCTATTTTGCTGTGGTCCAAAACTGAGCGCTTATCCTGCCGTGCTGCGCTGATGATGTTACGGTGCCACCACATCGGCTTTATTACTATTATTATGATTAACCTCAAATACAAATGACAGAAATCCACAGATAAAATACTGTTTCCTGTTAGAGTCAGATTTTTGTCGAGAGCTGGAGGCGGGATAAAATTTGATGGAGGTGGCTGACTCATGATTCTCTCTGCGGGAAATATTAGCCGACCTAATAAAGTATCTTGCTAATTACTGACCACAGTTTATTGTGACATCAGCATGCTTGCTTCACTGTGACGTAACACTTTGTTCAGGAACTGCTGAGGGGAAGAAAACAGGGAACAGGACTGTGGTGCTTTAAGAGTGCTGACGGCACCTGACGGGCCGCTCAGGTGTCCTTTACGTCCTCTGACTGAAGGACTCGGTCCTTGCTGGATTCAGAGGATGTAGTTTAAAAATCCTTAGTTGACTTTAAGAAGCACCAGGAATGCTCTGAACTCTCTGCTGTCCGCCCTCACACCGGCTCATTTGAACTAAGCTCTTGTGGCAGCCAATCATAAATGAGCCCCTGAGCTGGCAATGATGCGTTTCCTGTTTTCACTTCTCTCATTCTGGTATTTCTTTGTTTTCAGTGGCTTTGAGGAAGATCGACACCATCCACCTCCCCTCTGTGGACAAACCCAGCCAGCCTCCAGACCTCCTTCACAAACCCTCCTCCTCCTCCTCCTCCTCCTCCTCCTCCTCCTCTTCCTCCTCCTCCTCTTCCTCCTCCTCCCAGCCTGACCCCCAGAAGTCTCCTCCCTTCATTGAAGCCTCCCCTAAACACCCCCTCACCCCGGTAGACTCCGCCCAGAGAGCCCCATTAGCTGAGAAACCCCCATCATCCAACCTCCCCCCCAAACCTCACCTATCTGACCTCCGCCCAAAGCCCCTCTTCAAAGACCTCCCACCCAAACCACGACTCAGCGAAAGGCCCTGCCCCTCCCCTGTTGCTATGGAGATGCAGGGATCCAGGCTGGTGGTGGCAGCAGAGAGCCAGCAGGAGGAGGCATCACCTTGGCCGGCAGCTGAACATACTGATGAGGCTGTGGAGACGCCCGTCCATTTGCCACGTAAAATCAACTCTGTGAGTTTGTCATCTTCAGGTAATAAAGACGAAGATGAGACCAACAGACACGTCACATGGTTCATGTCTCCGTGTCTCCAGGTGAAGACTAAAATCCGGCGGGTGAAAACCATCTATGACTGTCAGGCTGACAACGACGATGAGCTGACCTTTGCTGAGGGAGAAGTCATCATTGTCACTGGAGAGGAGGACCAGGAGTGGTGGGTAAGTAACGCTCAGCGTCATCGTCATCATCATCATCATCATCATTAAACTAACCTGCTGAGTTCTTTTCCTCCACCTGCTGCTCCGCCCAGCTGAGAGGACTAATGCTCCACCTTCAGGATCTTAACTCCCTGCTGTGAATGTTGTTCTCAGATCGGACACGTCGAGGGACAGCTGGACAGAAAAGGCGTCTTCCCCATGTCCTTCGTTTACATCCTCTCTGACTGACAACCACAGAGACAAGTGTGAGGCCACCGCCGCTGCCACAAGCCCCGCCCACACGCAGAAGTCACACAGGTGACAGTGGCCGGAGTCAGTTGGTCAGTGATGCCGACAGGAACAAACTAACTGCACCTGGATGTAAATAGACTATTATTCTGCCTGACAGTCTTACCATAGCAACAGTGTTACCATAGCAACCCAGCATGCAGACCCAAGCGGGCCAGTAGCAAAACAATCTGCAGAGAAGGAAAAGGTCAGAGGTCACTGGGAGCAGGATTCTGATTGGACAGCAGCTCGTCACACCACCAGCCAATCACAGAAGCACAACTGAAGGAAAGAGGCACAACGTCCATCTGACGTCTGTCTCTGTCCTTTGTGTCCGTCCAGCTCGTCCTGGCTCCCAACTCGTCAAAAAACAGAGCTTTGTCAGTGGACGCCGGCGTCAGACATGGACACAAAGAGACACCTCACCCTGAGATGCGGTCAGTTTGTAATGTTGCCAGCAGCAACCGTCACATAAAGAGTGAGTCTGTAATCAGAGGACAGGGACGGGGACGGAGGTGGACGAGACCAATAGACTCCGGACCTTCACCCTGGACGCTGCTGTTCGTGTCACGTTTGAATTTTAAACCAAACCAGGATGTTTCTTTTAAACCTAACTGCGTGATTTTTTTTTCCTGAACTGAAGGAAATAAAAGTAAATTTGAGGTGTTTCATAGACGCTGTAACTTTATTTTGAAAAGACTGTTGGCATGTAACGAGCACAAACTGAGCACTTCCTGTGAAAACAGAAGTTTATTTTAAAAAAAAACATGATGATGTAACAAACTGAAACACTGTCCCTGGACGTCTGTAACAGACGTAGGAAGTTCGCAGCGTGTCATATGAAGGCGTGCAGGTCCACTGACAAGGAGTCGGTATTTGATGAGTTGGGATGAGAACGTGTCGTCCTGTCTCACCTCATACAGAGGAAATGGTAGCGACGTCCTCGTCCTCCTCACAGCTGAGCAGGAGCACTTCCTGTGTGTGGATGTCCACAGATCATGAACCTGAGCGGCTGGACTGACGCAGTCTGACTGTTTCCTGTTTACCTGTGTCAAACAGCCGACTGGCTTCATCTGTTGGCATCAGAAACTGAAGGTCATTCACAAAACAGACTCGCCATCAACACATGGAGGCGTCATGTCGGGAGAGACTAATGTGGGGTAAAGGTAGCGAGCATTCAGTGTACGTCTCCACAGACAGTAGTGTTAGGGGCAATAGCAAGTGAACCCAAATGTAGACACGAGCGGAAGCCAGGAATCAGTTAATTGTATTTATTGTAGAGCCAGGGATACAGGGGTTGGAGGTAGGGCAGCAGGTTGGGGAGCGGATCCAGAGGAGTTGAGGGAGAGCGTGAGACTGAAGACACACAGGAGCAAAAATTAGTCATGGGAAAAACTTCCAAAAAACAGAACACAAATTCAAGGCTTGAGCGTAACACTAACTATGTAGAGATTACGATCTGGCGAGTGGAGATGGCAGAGCTGAGTATAAGAAGAGGTCTTGATTATGGCAATGAGGTGCACCTGGTGGCTCCGCCCTGACTCCGGCATACCTGCAGACACAGAGAGAGAGAGAGAGAGAGAGAGAGAGAGAGAGAGAGAGAGAGAGAGAGAGGAGGGGGAGGAAGACGGCTACTGTGACGTCATTCCAGGGGCCGATGTAACAATACCCCCTCTATGGACGCCACCTGGCGTCCGACCAGGCTTGTCAGGGTGGGTGGCATGGAACTCCCATATAAGGGAGGGGTCCAGAATCTATTTATGGGGCACCCAGCAGGGCTCCTCGGGTCCTTTTCTTTCCCAATCCACTAAATACTGTAAACCACGGCCCCCCGTGGCGCACATCCAACAGCCGTCGAACTGTATAAGCCGGATGGTTGTTGATCATCCGGGGTGGTGGAGGCACTGCAGCAGGAGGGAACAAAGGGCTGGAGCGGACAGGCTTAATGAGGGAAACATGGAAGGTGGGGTGAATCCTGAGAGAGATTGGCAGTTTTAGGCGTACAGCAGGGGAATTAATGACACTCTCAATTTCAAAAGGACCAATGAACCGAGGGGCGAGTTTCTTTGAGTCAACTTTCAGGGGGAGATCCTTGGAAGAAAGCCATACCTTTTGGCCAGGGGCATATACTGGAGTGGGGGCAGGATGGCGGTTGGCTTGAATCTGGGACCTGGTGGAAGCACGGAGAAGAGCAGCCCTAGCCTTTGGATTGAAGGTACTGCAACCTCTGCTTCCTGAGATGGGAATAGCGGGGGTTGGTAACCGAGTGTGCATTCAAAAGGTGACATACCAGAGGAAGTGTTGACCAGGGTGTTGTGGGCATATTCCACACAAGCCAGTTGTGCACTCCAGGAGTATGGGCTGGTGGAAGTCACACAACGTAGAGCTGTTTCCATCTCTTGGTTGGCCCGCTCGGTCTGGCCGTTAGACTGTGGGAAAGGCTGAGGAAAGGCTGACATTAATGTCAAGGGCAGAACAGAAAGCTTTCCATACCTGGGAGGTGAACTGAGGTCCTCAGAGACGATGTCAGAAGGGATGCCATGCAGACGAAACACATGAGTAACCATGAGGTCAGCAGTCTCCCTGGAGGAGGGGAGCTTGGGCAGAGGTATAAAGTTAGCCACTTTAGAAAACCTGTCTATGATGGTTAGTATGACTGTGTTACCGTTTGATGGGGAAGACCGGTGACAAAGTCCAGTGCTATATGAGACCAGGGACGGCTGGGTATGGCAAGCCGGCGGCGGGTTTAGTTGAGGTCTTGTTTTGGGCACAGACCGAGCAGGCAGAGACAAACTCTCGAACATCCCTCTCCAAGGATGGCCACCAAAAGCTGCGACGCAGGAAGGCAAGTGTCTGATTAACACCAGGGTGGCAGGTCAGATGGGTGGAATGGGCCCACTGGAGAACAGCAGAGCGTACAGAGTCAGGAATAAACAAGGCATTAATGGGACCGTTACCTGGATCAGGTTGATTCTGCTGAGCTTGACGAACATGTGATTCAGTCTCCTAAGCAACAGCGGCAACAATGCATGTGGATGGCAGGATGGGGTCTGCCTCGGAACTGCAGCTGTCAGCAGTGAACTGGCGGGAAAGGGCGTCTGGCTTGACGTTTCTAGATCCAGGGCGATAAGTGAGTGAGAAATTGAACCGACCAAAAAACAGAGCCCACCTTGCTTGTCGGAAGTTGAGAAAGTTCTTGTGATCCGTCCAGACTATGAAGGAGTGAGCAGCACCTTCTAGCCAGTGATGCCATTCCTCTAAGGCTAACTTGACTGCCAGGAGTTCACGGTTTCCAATGCCGTAGTTCCTTTCTACGGATGAGAGTATTCGGGAAAAGAATGCACATGGGTGAAGTTTATGGTCAGAAGGGGAACGTTGGGATAACACTGCACCTAACCAGCCAGGAATCAGTTAATTGTATTTATTGTAGAGCCAGGGAAAGAGAGAGAGAGAGAGAGAGAGAGAGAGAGAGAGAGAGAGAGGAAGACAGCTACTGTGACGTCATTCCAGGGGCCGATGTAACACAGAAGTGCGTGGTTAATAATGAATGGCTTCTGAACAACAAATTAAAAACCCGACTCAGGAGAGGACGACTGTGAGGCGCCGTGAGGCTCACCTGTGAGAGCATATACAAAGGCCTTGTCCTTGCTGCAGTGGCAGCAGGGTCGATTTCGACTCACGGCTCTTTGCTGCATGTCATCCCATCTGTCTCTGCCCTGTCACGCTGATACTGTCCCATCACATAAAGGCTGAACAGTCAAAAAACAAAAAAAATCTTTAAAAAAAAACAAGGCTGTTGCTGAGCAGCATGTGAACTCTCTGGTCAGGCTGAGGGGCGGGGCTCCAGTCAGCTGTATTAAAGGGGAAAAGCATCAAGACAACAGAGTGCCAGTGTGGGCACGTATCCGGGCCAGATAACCTTATCGCTGTGTTTCTACTGTGTGTGATCTGTGTCAGCGAACCAGAGTCAGAGCCTCGTTACTGCCTCGTCAGTCCAGATGTGTGGAACAAAAAGGGACGATTGTCCGTCAGAGTAGATTCAGGGTCACTGTTCTTAAACACACACGATTCATGATCCTGGTGTGACGTTTAATGAGAGTGATGTTTGTTTCAGCCTCCGCTCTCTGTCCAGCTCTCGTGTTTCCTCCCGAATCTTTTACACTTAAACAGAAGGAAGAAGAAGAAGAAGAAGAAGAAGAAGACGTCCACCCTGTGATTCACATCAGCTCCTGAATGTTCTGTGTTCATCCTTGGTTGGTTTCATCCTTCCACCAAGTTTCATAAAAATCAGGAGCCGTATTCACAAACATCCTGAGAATCAGTCAGGGGTCAGAGGTCAGGATGATTCAGGAACGTTCTCAGAGAAAGTTTGAGTGATGATGGGGCAGAAACTGTGACCTCAGTGAGGAGGTGTGGTCGACCCTGTTGTTAGGTGTGATGTGATTGGTTGTCAGAGACACGCCCCTCTGTGCAGACGCGTCACGTCAATAGAAACCGAGGGGGCACGTGCCCCCTCAGATTTGAGGGATGATTTTTTTTTTTCAACCAATTTTACCTTACATATTATTTTACCATCTAGCTATGATCAGTGGTCATATTGAGTGAAATGTATTCTGAATAATCTCCTTCATCTCAGGCCCATTTAGTGGCCGTAACTTGCATAAAATGCATAAATGGTAATTTACGCATTATTTATTAGGATTTAGGGGAGATTTCCTGTTAGTAGTGATCACACATGGCAACAGGGCTCCCCCCCCCCGGTATCGCCGGCGATGACGGCGATCTAACCTAAGGGTTAACGTTAGCCTATAATGTCTGGACTGTAATGTTAGCCTGACCAATCAGCTACTAGTAGCCTAGGGAGTATCCATGGAAGTATCAGAAAAACTTGGGACGGGATTTATTTTGGTGTATCTGTGTTTCAACGTTAGGCTGCCTAACAAGATGGGTGAGTGTGTATGATTGTGTCCTTTTTTATTGCCTTGGCACGCCGTTGCCAATAACATTGGCTAACGTTATCTACGTCACGTTACGTTTTGCTGTCAGTAGTGGGAACTGGCCTGGGTTCACGTTTGTGTGTATTAATGTTAGTGTGTAGCCAAATATTGTATGCATTACAATAAGCTTAGCTATGTTTGCAATATTTTCCTAGCTGCTAGGGTTTGTTTGAGAAAAACTCCTTTCCTCCTTACACAAAATAGTTTACATGGCAAGGTGTAGATACGTTAAGTGTGTGTGTGTGTGTGTGTGTGTGTGTGTGTGTGTGTGTGTGTCTGGACGGGGGGGTCAGCTTTGAGTTTGGGCCCTATCCAACCTCAAGGCGTTGTGCAGCAGGGGCCCAAAATAAGTGATTTGAGGGCATCACCCAAAAAAATTTGTGCGCGCACATAGTGCACGAACCCAATCCACTGTGCCCCCTCACATTTTGGGGTTGCATGACGCCCCTGCCTCTGTGAGCCTGTAAGGTGTGAGGACACCCAGTGGACATGAGATGAACTGCATCACAATA